CCCCAAAACCCCAAAACCCCTTAAAACTTTTTTGACAAAATGCTGTAGTTATCATTCTGTAAATGTTTTTAAATATAAATTTAATCAAACTTAGAAGATTGAAATAATCTTTAATATTACAGAGATATATCCAATCAAAGATAGAGTACCAAAAAATACAATTAAACTGTACTTTTTACAAATACTCAGCTCTTGCCTGTTTAATTTTATGTGGCATATAGTTGGTAATACATAACACATTGTGACTGAGCATAAACCGCCAATAATTGATAGAATCCCTGTAATGTCTGGATAAATTATAGATATTACTGAAGTTAGCACTACAAATCCAAATGACATCGATATGCTTTATCCTTGTGTCATTTAATGCTCTTGTGAGTATATCAGTTTAATAAAAATTTGCTTAAGAGAAACCATTCTTAGGGGGAATGCTATACAAAGCCCAATAATGATCATAACTCTACCAATCATTAGAGGTAGATCAATATGTTGCCCAATTAAAGGTTCTCTGTCTATTACAATTTTTTTGGTCATCTCATAAGTTGAAAAATATCCAGCTAAACCTATAGATAAATAGAACAATATGTTAATTGCAACACTTCGGTAAACAAGTTTACTAGCTCTTTTTGGATTTTTCTCATTCATCTCATAATATATTTGGATAAAATCAATATGACATGCAAAAGCAAAAAATGCTATTGAAAAATTTGGGAAAAAATCCCAATCAAATTTGAAAAAGTTAAGATTTTCAGCATCAAAGTTTTATTTAGCATAATAGGGTAGTTCGAATAATAGTATGAGCATAATGTAAACTAAAGAAGCAAGTGAGATGATACTAATATATCTGAATCCACTCATTTCCCTTATTGAGCCTGTTGGAAATAAAATAAATAGTCCAATAAATGCCGTAATAGCAATCTTTACTTCGCTGCTTTAAACATAGCTTTTATCCAAATCTATGTTAATGGCAAGCACCTAAATCATCTCGGTAATGATAATCAAGTAGGACACACTAAATCCAACAGCACTAAAAAATATAAGCCATACAATATGTTTGTCGACATTTCTACCTATTACTTTTTAAATAAGGTATGTGTAAGTTGGGGCATTTATTTAATCAGCACAGGTAGCTAGCATTGAAAAGCTTATTATGGCAGCAATACAAGCAATAATTATCATCAATGATCCGAGGATAAATCCACTTTAAGCAATCATATATGGAAGTGACAAAACGCCTGAACCGATTGCTGATGCGCTTAGTTAAAACATGCTCCCTCGAAGCGACCCTTTTGTTATTGGTCCAAAAATTCAGTTTAGGAATGTCCTATTAGGAATGAAAGATCGTTAGACATTAGTTAATGAAGTGCTAAAGTTTCTTCGATGATTTTATGTGTCATCTATAAGTGCCTACTTCAATTGACCTTTAGCTCCGCTTTTGTCTTGATGATATAATCCATCTACAATCAGGTTATCTTGACCATTAACATCATTTTCTTCATTGCTATTCTAGTCATCATGATGATTTTAATATCCCCTTGCTGCCATTTATTTTATTTCCTTATAGAAATTATATTACTATTGCACCTGAGATTTTAATGCGTGATAAATTCTCGGTTTATTAATTATGCCTTAAATATGTGAAGAAGAATTAAATATTTAAAATTTCAATTTTTAAAAGCTTTAGAATTATGCTATTTTCACCTTATGGGGTTTTGGGGTTTTGGGG